TGCATAATGTGGCTCCCAGAACACAAGCAACCAGTCACTCACTGGCCAACCGTAAAGAAACCCGGAAAGGGGAGACAAGCAGCAGAAAAATTAGAGGGAAAAAAAAACAGATAACAAAGGAAAGAGCATGAAAAATGTAAGTAGGAAAGGAGATGAAGGGGAAAAAAAAAGGTTACAATAGAGCTAATCAATTGGACAAGGGCATCGGGTCTAAAGTTGATTTGTTGTCACTTACCTCGAATAAGAACTTCTGTGGAAGCAACGAAAAGAGAAAAAGCCGGAAAAAGCCAAGCAGCCGTCGTGCAACCTCACCGGTTCAAACAGAACACAAGCAGAGGAAGCGGGGTCCAAAATACACCTAACGAGAATAACAACCAAAAAACGAAGCGGGGGGGTTGCCAATCTATATAGAAGGGAGTGATTCCGTTTCTCTCCTCCAAAGACCGAGATGGAGCGAGGGATGATGGGTGGATGGTGAGAAGGAGGGGGCGGAAAGAAAAAGAAAAAAGCAATAATGGGAACGAAGGCTTTTCGGAGACGACTGTTGTAAGCAACGTTACTCTAAGCTAGTCATTCCTTCAGTTTTCTAATGCTGGTGCTGCTCCTGCTAGAACTACCCTGTGCAGCAAGAAAACGAGATATAACTCGTGGGTAAATCGAAAATTTTCAAATATCCTCAGCGCAGTGCCAGGCGCGGTGCGGGGGATGAATATGCGAATTGACCCAAGCCAGCCAAATGCGTCTGTGGCACCCGAGCGAATCGTCTGGTAGGGAATAATCCGGAATAATACTGTATCATACCACGGCGCAATTATAGTCCAAAAATCCGGTGGCCGAAAAGAAAAGAAAAGAAAAGAAAAGAAAAGAAAAAAAATACTCTCAAATCACCTAGACTTGCAGTCGATGAGATGATATCTTGGATATACTGGCGTTAGCCGGTTGGCTCCGTTCCTGTCTGTGATATCTCTGATAACTGGGATGTTCTTCTGATTCTGTTTGATGGGAATTCACGCTTTTCTTTTTCTCTTCACTCTGCCAAGACGAACGGATGGGTGGTGATATAGGCCTAGTGGTTCATGTCGATGAGATTCCCGATAGTCTTTAGT